TTGATTGGGCAGTGAGGACCCACATCATCTAAAGTAGTAAGAACAAGTACAATTAACAAAAGCAAATAGAGGAGCATTCTTGGAGTCTATGCTTGCTGTTACAAATACCTATGCTGAACAACTTAGGAAACATTTCAACTTACAACAAAACCATTGCTTACATTTCTAAGTTGCACCCAAATTGAACCCACATGGAGATTCACCACACCATACTAGGTTTCTAAAAGGCTAAAACCATGGGTATAAAGCAAACAATTTGTGCTTTTGGAGATGCACGAGGGAAGCATTCCAACTTCCTTAGGATTTCGCTCACCTCAGAGTCATTCATATCCCAAGGCTTCAAAATAACAACTCTCTCTAGTGCAGGGGATTTTGAGAGCAGCATTTTCATAAAAAGCATTATGAGTGCGGATTCATGGAATGATTCAATCTTGATTGTGTTAAGCATCTTCAACTCCTGAATAACAAAGCAACCATCTGGATCCTCCAAAAGCCTTGAGGCAACTTCTTTGTCATCCCCCCAACTCCCCCAAGTTCTATAAACACACAAAACTGTGAGGACATTTGAAAAAGAAAAGACAAAGAATCAAGCATGATATATTGCCAAAGGCATGTATACTCAACCTCTGCTCATCCATCACCATAATTCCTAGTTCACATAGGTTGGGGCATTTTTGAAGCAATTGCATAGCAACGGTGAGCTGCTTCCCACAACCAAACCTTAAGCCATACAGCTTTATCACTTGCAGATTTGTTGCAGTTGGAAACATAGATACATCCATATACTTGAAAAATAGAAATAAAGAAAGAAAATTAGCCACCACATGAATAACTATAACAAGCCAGAAGGTATAGTATAGAATTATATGTATCCATATATCCATTTGGATAAAGTAAAATGAGTTAGCTAGATTCTCACCCGCAACGAAGAGCCACACAACCAAAGAGTTTTAATGGCTTTCAAATGTGGTGCCAGCCATCTGGACTCAACCACATCTCCAATACAATGAATAACAGACAAGATTTCAAGCTGCTTTGGAGGGCTGATCTCAAATTTATTGATCCCAATACAAAGTTCCAAAGCCAGCTTCTCAAGTTTAGGAATACTAATACTAGAGGCAATTCCATTAACATTGCGCTTAAATACAACATTCAAGAAAGCTAATGACGTGACATTGGAAAATATACCACAAGCATTTACAGGCAAATCAATAAAGGGACCTTCGACTATCAGTTTCTTAATTGTCATGCAAGAGAGTAAACAAAATGGCAGCTTATATTCCTTCACAATACTGTGTAAAGATATGTTAAGTTCCTCTACACCATTTCTTGACAGAAAAAGACACCAACTATCAAAATTAGTCTGCTGCGGCTGAGGATCTCCCAATGAAATGTGTAGAGTAAATTTCTTAACCAGCCCAGCACGAAGAAAGAGGATATTATTGATTATGTTCACGAGGGTTCTACGGTCATCATCTTGGCGCTGTTGGACACTTCCCAAGAATTCCCGATCGAAAGCAAGCCGCCCATGCTGCAACCAAACGTTATTCCAGTGCCTTGAGAGCAGGGCAGTTCTGGCGGCATCTCGGGTGGGCAAACACTCCAAAATTCTATCCTTTATCTCTACCGGCAGCTCACTTGTTAAATGGCTTATAGGCTTTCGCTGAGCCATTAAATTGGAGACGACAGAGAGGCGATTCTTCGCTACTTTTGTTGGGGTCAGTCATTCGAAATAAAAACCTGAAATCGATTTCGTAAAGAAAGGGAAATTTGGGAAGAAAGAAGATACGAAAACGGGCCGGAAACCCTCACCATGATTTATTAGTTTATTTATCTAAATATCAGTTTCAATAATGATTTATATTATAATTTATTCTTTTTAACCAAATTTAGAACTTGTTCGGAGTAGTAATTCATTATATGCTTTTTCTCCTCAATTATTTATGTATATTCACTTTAGTTCCTCAATTATTTTAAAATTAGCAATTTTTCCCCTTTTATATATGTTAAACTAGTATTTGTGCTCGTGCAATGCACGATCATTTTGTTATTGTATAATTTAAAAATATGAAATGCTCAATACATACGAAATAAAAAAATAATACTTTTTCACATTAAACATAAATACAATTACAAATTATTAAAAATTTTTTTGTAAATCACATTTTGAGTAGTCATCAAAAAACTCTAGGTTCACCACAAATTAGAACATTAAAACCAGTTGGATTGCAAACCCTTGAAACTGCTACATACAATTGGTCATTATTAAAAACAGTCTTTTTTAATATCAAACCAACATAAATTAATGTTTGTCCTTGACTTATATTTATTATCATGGCGTATGACAACATAACGGGAAATTGCTTCCTTTGAAATTTAAATGGAAGTCTTGAGTTTGATGAAGTCAATGTTATCTATGGGATCAACACATTGGTACATGCATTGTTTCCCTTCATAATCTGCACTTCAAGCACATAGTTTCCTAGTCTTGAGATAATCAATCCTGTTTCATTAGAATGACCCAATGAGTCGTCTATGTTTCTCAAAAGCATAACTGGAGATCCAACCTTCAATGTTAATGAATGGTTTGGTATATCTGAACAGCTCAAACTGTTTAAGAATTGAGGAGTGTTAACTTAGATAACATATCAACATTAGTGTCCGACTTGCACACAGAATCACAACCCAAATACATCTTAGATGACACCTCATTCATACCTTTCATGTATTCATTCACATAGTCGACAACATCTAATTTCGGAGCCAAGATGGCTCGAGTCTCCAGATTTTTAGGGTCCATCTTACTACTACGGTATGAAGGATATGTGTTATCGACAATCTCTTGTATAGGATCACCTTCTGTTTCCAATAAAAACAAGGCCCACAGGATAGGCTATAGCTGACTATGCTACTGGTAGGAATCGAACCTAGATGACTGAATTGAGAGTATGAGATCAAGACCACTAGACCGTAGTGTGACACCCCAAAATCCAAATTCAATTAACGGATTAATTGAGTAATTAATTCTATTTCAATTAGTGAATTAAATCCGAAAATCCTGAAAATTCAATACTTGGGGACTATTAATTGACTAGTCAACCCCAAAGTCAAAGTTGTACCTTGAGCTTTGTAAGGAGTTCCCTTGTTCCTTACATTTCCTAATGTTAGTAAGGGCATTCTTGACCTTTCACATGGTGTTAGTATTGTAACCTAACCTAGTAGACCATCTTCATTCTATCCCTACACTTTCTAAAAATCTAGCTCCACCTTCTCTCTAAAAGGTGAGTAGCTTTTCTTCCAAGCCAAGTTGGAACCTTGCCAAGACTTCAGAGTTGCTTCCAAGATTCAACCTTTCTTATATTTGGGCATATAGGAGGGTAAGATCTTAGTTCATCTTGTGTTTTTGGTTTTATCTAAGGTGTCTTTTCTTAAAGCTAGGATCTTTATGATCTTTTGGTTTGTTCTTGAAGTGGGTTTGGAAAGTGAGCCTTGTGAGGAGCTTGTTGAGGTGTAAAGTGAAGTCGTTACAAGAGGTAACCCATGCTCTACAAAACCTATTTTGTTTACCTATATATGATTTCTTGGATTCTACATGTGTTTTTGCTATGAAATATGAGTGTTTGTGCATGATCTTGTGAAAATGCATATCTAGAGCTTGTGTTTAGGGTTCTTTTGTGCCATTGCTTGGCATTTCCTTTGATTCAAGTCATTTTGTTGTATTTGGTGAGATTTGGCATGTTTTGGACTTGAATTTGAGTTGGAGATGAAAAATCCGCGAAGTGTTGTTTTGAGGTACAGGAATGTATCCGCGGGCGGAACGGTGGGTAGGGGTCCAACCCGCCGCCCACCCGCAGGGTACAATGGTGGAGTAGCCTGTACCCACGGGCGGAACCGCGGCTAGAGGCTTACCCGTGGGCCCACCTGCGGGTACGTAATGTTGGTTGTTTGGGGATTTGTTCCCCGTGATTCATTTGACTCGGTAATTGGTCTTTGGACTTCCCGATGTTCTTTTGTGGAACTATTTGAGTGTCTTCTTGATGTTTCGTATGTCTAGAACTATATGGTATGATTCCATGTAGGTCTTTGGTGTCTTGAATCGTGCTAAGTGTTCAACATTGTGTTTCGTTGAACCGTGATGAGTCTTGTGTGTTCTTCGGAACTATCTTTGGTTTACCCGTTTGATAAGCATGCTAGTTCGGTGTTTAAATGCTAGCATGTGTGTTGTTTGTACCTTCTCATTGGTTGATGATAACTTGTGTTATTCATCGTTGTTATTGTTGGACTGTGTTCCATTCCTTGATTGAGTATGATTTCATATCTTCATTGTGATCCGTTGATTGATTCCTGTTGTGGTGTGATGTGTGTGTGGCTTTACCTGGATTGCACGATTAGTGGAATGGGACACTAGTCACCATGGTATTGAAGCGGTCATCGTGGTGGCCGTGACGTGATTATGGAGTTTGTGACCTTTTTGTAAGGTTCACGTATTTCTTGGGAGGCATGTGTTGCCGTGTGTGTGTACGGTACTTCGTGTACTATGAAATTGGTGGTCTCGTTGGCGGTCGTTGGCGGATAGAGACGACGGTCCTCGGAGGGAAAAGGTTGGACTTGGTTGTACAGGGGTCCTGGAGGTAATGGTTGGAAAGAAGATACAAGGTTGAGGGTAGCCATAAGGTTGGAACCGGGCATAAGGAAGGCATATCAACTCGTGATGGGTGATGTCACGAGGGCTTGTGTAGCCATTGTGGTGATTCTTCTCTTGTGACGTGTGTAGTCACAAAGGCATGTGTTGCCGTTGGGTGAGTCTTATTCCTTTGCGTTGTGCTTGTCGGGTTTTGATCTATTGAGTGATGATAGATCATGCCTTGACTCTTCTTGTGAGTCATGTTGCTCCTTGTGGTCTTGGGATGTGTTCCCGTGTTGTTGTTGAGAGTGTTGAGTCTTGTGTTGACTATTTGGTGAGCTGTTGTAGGCTTCCAAATTAAAACCTTACAAACGTAGTAGCGGGAGTAAGGATCGATCCCACGAGGAGTAACTAGTTTAACTTTTGTGCTCAAATTAAAGGTAGGGGGGTTTGGAATATATCGAGAATAAAGATAAAATAAAAGAGAATTTAAATAAACAAGAAGTTTAATTGAACAAATAAAGCAATGAAAATAATATATCGAAAACACTTATAATAGGAGACCTTGGTTAGTAAAGATCCACCACCGGAATTCAACACTGATCATTGATTAATAAAGTAATTAATATGCAATTGAATATTTGTCGTGAAATTATGTCATTTTTGTTTTCCCTTAGTTGTAGGTAAATAAAGCACAAGAGGTTTAATTACCCCTAACTACTAAATAATCTAAGACAAGCGCTATAGATTTAATTTAATAGCAGCAATAGGAACTAGGAAAACCGACAAACTAAATAACACAAGCACAAGCGGTTGCATTTAATTTAGAAAAATATTCTACCCGAGACCAATTATCACTAAGCCGTCAATAATTAACCTCAGTTGCTACTGAATATTAGAATAATTTGTAGCACAACATTATCTAATATAGCAAATAATTATATCAAATAAATAACTAGTAGGCCTCCCTAGCAATTAAATGATACAACTATTCAAATAATTTAGAAGAATATTTAATACTCAAAATGCATAAAAACATATATATAATAAAGTTAAATAAATAACCTTACAGCGTTATGAACTCCGGGGCTTCAATTCACTAAACCAACTAGAAATTAGCCACAAATGGACATTGATAACAACTTCAACGAATACTATAGAGGAGGGAAGAATGAATCAAGCATGAACATTTTAAAATAGAAATCTTCCACTATTTATATACTTTCCAAAATCAACCTAAGCTATTTTCTATCATCCATTTTCCTCCTTTTGCGCTGAGCCACGAAATCATCCGAAGTTGCTGCTTGTTCTCGCGCCAGTAATCAGTCGACGAAGCTTTCTTTCGTTGCTACCTACGCCTCACATTCTTTAGGTGGAATTAAAACAAAACATTAGTTAGTATTTGCTAAAGGCTGGGCCACTTAAATAATATATAATATATATATATATATATATATATATATATATATATATATATATATATAGTAGTACGTAATATATATATGTCTATATAAGTATAGTACGTAATATGTATTATATATTATATATATATATATATATTATATATTATATATTATATATATTTAATATTATATATATAAAAAGAACTAATTATAAGACAATATTAAATAACTAATGCAAAATTATTATAAAGATGTACCTAAAATATGGGTGTAAAATATGCCTATCAAATTCCCCCACACTAAAACATTTGCTTGTTCCCAAGCAAAAACATTATTTGCGAAGTAAATTAAAACGAAATTCCCAAAACTCATAACATATCATGAACAACAATCTGAAGCACCCTGCAATTAATAAGTTAGCATTCCTATTTGTAAATGAAGAATACTAAATAAGTAAGCCCTCACAGGAATATCACTCATCACTCAAGTGTTTGATGGGTATAGATTTCGCTCAAGTTCATTCCTATAGAATTGCTCTACCATAGGCTTGCATATCTTCTCAATCACCACTACAAGAGTCATGCATGATACAAATCATAAGGACTTTTCACAGGTTGTAATGGGGCTAGGGTCAAGGTAGGGAATTTTAGGAAATTAGCTTAAACAAAAGCTTCAAACTAGAGGAGCAAATAAATACAAGTAATCCAACACCCTCAATTTCCAATCAAAAACACATCCCATTGAGGTACAGAATGCTTCCTCAGTATTACCAGAATTTCCCCCTTACTTCATTTATTTAGAAGTAACTTCAACTCAAAATCAATTGCTGATTCTTTTTCATTTTCTCATAAATTTTCAGCAATATTTTTCTTTTTCAAACGTATATTCTCCATTTTTCCATTTCATTTTTTTTTCAATTTTCCATACCTTATTTTATTTTATTTTTTTTTTAATGATGAACTGCCTTCATTTTCTCTTAGAAGACCAACGACAAATTGGCAATAAGGGTACAACCCGCCTCACTCTCAAAACAAATTAATAAGAGTAGGTGATCTCCCCCACACTTATCCTTCACAAACTCACGTAGATTACAAGAATAATCCATAATTTGCTCCACTAGTTATTCAGCTGGGTGAAGGCATTATTTTTAGATATAAAAGGCTTGTAATGTGGTTCAAGATAAATCATGGGACAAACCGGTTATTTGGCTAGTGAGGCTCAAAATCAAATAATGGCCTTAATCACACTTGAATCATGCATGGTCTAATTAGCTTTAAAAGAGAATCAAGGCAAGTTCTAGAGAAACAAAATTATGGAAGAAATCACACAATAGAAAGAAAATAAGATCGAAGTGTCAGTCAATGACTCAAAATCTCACATGTTTATTGCTTACTTAATATAGCCACTGCATATCAAACAGGAAATGCTAACAAACTAATCACAATTTGCCAAACTATTTATTCAATCATATTATGAATTCCAAGAAGGGAAAAAAATATAATAATTTTTGAAAATAATACTTATTTAGCATAAAATACTAAGAAAATATTTGTGAAAATTTTGGAAAATTTTGACAAAAATCGTGACATAAGCAAACAAATAATAAAACTAAAACTAAATTTCCTCCCCCACACTTATTACCAACATTGTCCTCAATGTTTAATAAAAACATGCAGAAAAGGATTATTAAATGAAAAATAACGATTAATAAAAAGAATAGAACAAACTCCCCTTCTAGTTGTGCATATTATTCAAAGTAGATGGGATCTTCAAGAAGTATGTCGGCAATATAATCAACTTGAGCCCCTTCATGGTAGGGTTTAAGCCGATGGCCATTCACCTTGAATATCTTAGAAGTCTGTAAACTTTGAATCTCTATCGCACCATGAGGAAAAATATTAGTGATAATAAATGGACCAACCCATCGAGAACGTAGCTTACCTGGGAATAGCCGAAGACGTGACTGGAAGAGTAGGACCTTTTGTCCAATTGAAAATTCCTTTCTCAAAAGCATCTTGTCATGAAATGCTTTTGTCTTTTCTTTGTAGATTCTTGAATTCTCGTAGGCCTCATTGCGAATCTCCTCCAACTCAGAAAGTTGCAACTTCCGGTGTAGGCCACTTTCATCAATGTTCATATTAAAGCTCTTGACAACCCAATAAGCTTTGTGTTCTAACTCAACGGGGAGGTGGCAAGCTTTCCCAAACACAATGCGATAAGGGGACATACCAATAGGTGTTTTGTATGCGGTTCTGTACGCCCACAATGCATCATCTAATCGCAAACTCCAATCCTTCCTGTTTGGGTTGACTGTTTTCTCAAGGATTGACTTTACCTCTCGGTTGGATACCTCTGCTTGCCCGTTAGTCTGCGGGTGGTAGGCAGTTGACACCTTATGGGTGAGATGATACTTTTTAAGCAAAGCTTCGATGGTGTGATTACAAAAGTGAGTACCCTGATCACTTATTATAGCCCTCGGAATTCCAAATCTGGAAAAGATGTTAGTTTTGATAAAATCTGCAACAGCTTTAGAGTCATCAGTCCTGGTGGCTTTAGCTTCCACCCACTTCGAAACGTAATCAACCGCAAGTAAAATATAGACAAAACCAAAAGATACAGGAAATGGGCCCATAAAATCAATGCCCCAAACATCAAAGACCTCACAAAATAGGACCGGAGTTTGTGGCATTTCATTTCTCCGGGATAAATTACCTGACTTTTGACAAGCATCACAACACTTGCAAAATGAGTATGAATCATTAAACAAAGTTGGCCAATAAAACCCAGACTTCAACACCTTCCTTGCTGTTCTCTTAGCACCAAAGTGGCCTCCACAAGCATAAGAATGACAAAAGGTAAGGATTGAAGCAATTTCATCATCAGGTACACACCGCCTTACCACTTGGTCAGCACAATGTTTCCAAAGGTACGGTTCATCCCATACATAGTACTTGGCATTACTCTTGATTTTATCTTTCTGTGCCTTAGAGGAATCAAAAGGAAATTTGTTAGCAACCAAAAATTTGACTATGTTAGCATACCAAGGTAAAACCACAGTTGCAGCCAATAGGTGTTCATCAGGGAATGCTTCTCGCAGTGGAGGTTCTGGTTTAATGTGTACCAACCGACTCAAATGATCGGCCACAAGATTTTCTGACCCCTTCTTATCTTTGATCTCCACATCAAACTCACTTAAGAGGAGTATCCATCTTATTAATCGTGGGTTGGCTTCCTGCTTTTGCATCAAGTAGCGAAGAGCTGCATGGTCAGAATAAACTATAACTTTTGTGCCCAGCAAATAAGACCTAAATTTTTCTAAAGCAAAAACAATGGCTAAAAGTTCTTTCTCTGTAGTAGAAAAGTTTTTCTGAGCATCATTTAAAGTCCTAGAAGCATAATAAATAACGTGGGAAGATTTCCCGATCTTTTGGCCCAACACAGCCCCAACTGCGTGATCACTTGCATCACACATAATCTCAAATGGGTAGTCCCAGTTAGGTGGCTGAATGATCGGCGCAGATGCCAACAACTCTTTCAATTCGTCAAATGCTCCTTTACACTCTTTGTCAAACTCAAATGATGTCTCTTTCTGCAACAGTTTGCTTAAAGGTAAGGCTATTTTCGAGAAGTCTTTGATAAACCTTCGATAAAAACCTGCATGTCCAAGAAAAGAGCGGACTTCCCGCACATTAGTGAGATACGGCAGAGATTCAATAATATCAACCTTGGCTTTATCAACCTCAATCCCACTAGACGAAATAACATGCCCTAAGACATTACCTTGTTCAACCATAAAATGACATTTTTCAGAATTTAACACAAGATTACTCTCTATACATCTTTTCAAAATAAGCGAAAGGTTATGTAAGCAGGTATCAAAAGAGTCACCATAAACTGTAAAATCATCCATGAAAACTTCAATCATATGCCCTACATAATCAGAAAATATACTAACCATACACCTTTGAAAGGTACCCGGGGCATTACAGAGGCCAAACGGCATGCGTCGATATGCAAAAGTGCCAAAGGGACATGTAAAAGTCATTTTTTCCTGGTCTTCCGGAGCAATTGCAATCTGGAAATAACCTGAATAACCATCAAGAAAACAAAAATAAGAGCGACCAGCTAACCTTTCTAACATTTGGTCAATAAACGGTAAGGGGAAGTGATCTTTTCTTGTAACAGCATTCAACTTCCTATAATCTATACAAACTCGCCACCCATTTTGAATACGAGTGGGGACCAGTTCATCATTTTGGTTTTTGACAACCGTAATCCCTGTTTTCTTAGGAACCACTTGAGTTGGGCTAACCCATTTGCTGTCTGAAATTGGATAGATTATCCCAGCCCCAAGGAGTTTGATGACCTCTTCCTTGACTACTTCCATCATGGGCGGGTTTAGCCTTCTTTGTGGTTGACGAGATGGTTCTGCTCCTTCATCTAGAAGGATTCGGTGCATGCAAGTGGATGGACTTATCCCTTTGATGTCTGCAATTGTCCACCCAATGGCAGTTTTGTGTTCTTTTAGCACTTGGACAAGTTTTTCCTCTTCTATTGCAGACAGTTTAGTTGAAATTATGACTGGCAATGTTTTATTTTCTCCTAAGAAAGCATATTTAAGGTGTTCAAGAAGGGGTTTCAATGCGGGGATCGGTGCTTGCACAACAGATGGTAACAATTTTTCACTAGAAGCAGGTAAAGCCATATAAGAAACCTTACTTTGTTGGCGCAATTTAGGACAATGATTCAATGATGCAATAACTTCTCGTAAATTGTCACTCATAGCAAATTCATCATTTTCAAGGTGTTCACAAATAACAACTTCCAATTTATCTTCACCATTAAATTCAAAAACTTCTTCAACCAATGAATCAATAATATCAACAGAGCAAGCAACACAATCACCTCCAGGGTATTTCATAGCATTATAAATATTGAACGTAACAACATTACCATCAAATTCCATAGTAAGTGTGCCACTATGAATATCAATTTTTGTTTTTGCAGTTTTTAAAAATGGTCTTCCTAACAGAATAGGTGCAGAATGATCATTATTTTCCATATCTAGCACATAGAAATCAGTAGGGAAGATTAAATTATTAACTTGCAACAATACATCTTCAATTACACCCCTAGGATATGCATTAGACCTATCGGCCAATTGGATAACTACACTAGTTTTATTCAAAGGTCCAAGATTTAAACACGCATACACAGAATATGGCATAACATTAATAGATGCTCTTAAGTCTAACATGGCTTTCTCAAGTTTAGTATCGCCTATCATACAAGGAATAGTAAACATACCTGGATCCTTGCATTTTTCAGGAAGCTTGCTTTGAATCACAGCAGAAACATTCTTGCCCATTAGCACTTTCTCACCCTTTGATGATCTTTGTTTCCTTTTTGTTGTACACAACTCCTTTAAGAACTTAGCATATCTTGGAACTTGTTTTATTGCATCAAGTAGCGGAATATTCACTTCACAATTTTTGAAAGTTTCATATAACTCTTCATCTTTCGTTCCTTTTATAGATTCTGACAAAGCTTGAGGGGATGGGGGAACTGGTTCATAATCAGAAAGGTTGGGAGACTTACCTTGAGATTTTTCATTGTTGTTAGTTCCCTCTTTTTCTTGGTTCACTGATGGGGTAGCAACCGCAGGCCCTTCAATTTCCTTACCAATTCTCAACACAATTGCACTTGCATTTTCTCTTGGATTAACCACCATTTGCGAGGGTAGTTTGCCAGAACTCTGTGATTCCAACCGACTTACCGTAGTCGCTAGTTGACCCATCTGCCTTTCCAAGTTCTGAATACTAGCCTTCGTTTCTTGAATACTAGCTCTTGTTTCTTGTTGAAATTGTTGTGTTTCCTGCTGAAACTGTAAAGTGTTAGTAGCAAGGGATTTAACAATTTCTTCTAAATTCATACCTGAGCTAGAGCTTTGGACTGGTTGTTGTTTGGAAGGAAATGGTTGTCTATACTGCTGAAAATTGGGACGATTCTGAACAAACTGGTTTCCTTGTGAGTTCCCATAACTAAGGTTTGGGTGATCCCTCCATCCAAGATTATATTTGTTAGAAAATGGATCATACTTACCTTGAGGTTGCCTAGGAAAACCTCCAGCCATGTTAACTTGTTCAGTAGGTTCTTCTTGAAGAGTTGGGCAGGCATCAGTTTGGTGCCCAACTACCGAGCAAATTCCACATGCTTTTACAGATTGCACATTGCCGACAGCTAATTGACGAACAAGAGTAGTTAAACCAGTAATTTGTTGCTCAAGAGCAGAAATATTTACCTCATTCACTTGCTTAGATGGTTGGACAAGCCTATTGCCAAATTGTTGAGAATTTGCAGCCATGTTTGCAATTAGAGTTCTCGCAGCGTCCGGTGTCTTGTCAACTAAAGCACCACCGCTCGCGGCATCAATCATGCTCCTATCACTCGGAAAAAGTCCTTCATAAAAGTATTGAATGAGTAATTGATCACTGATTTGATGGTGTGGGCAGCTTGCACATAACTTTTTGAAACGCTCCCAATATTCATACAATGACTCTCCATTGTTTTGCCGTATTCCACATATTTCCTTTCTAATATTGGCCGCCCTTGAAGCTGGGAAATATTTTTCAAGGAACATTGTCTTCAAGTTGTTCCATGTGGTGATGCTCCCAGAAGGTAGATAGTATAGCCAATCCTTCGCTGAATCTTTCAAAGAAAAGGGAAAGGCTCTTAACTTGATTTGTTCTTCAGTAACCCCAGTGGGTTTCATACTTGAACACACCACATGGAATTCCTTCAAGTGCTTATGAGGGTCTTCACCTGCAAGTCCATGAAAAGAAGGCAAAACATGAATTAATCCAGATTTCAGTTCGAATTGTACATTAGCATCTAGAGCGGGAAAAGTGATGCATAAAGGTTGCTGATCCAAATTTGGAGCTCCAAGCTCTTTTAAAGTCCGATTTTGAGCACCCCCTTCTGAATCAGAATTGTTGGAAGGTTGAGGGTTGGTAGCCAGACCACTAAACTCCAATTTCCTCAAAGCTTGTTTCTTCCACCTGCGTACAGTTCTTTCAATTTTTGGATCGTACGACAAGATTTTTTGATTAGCAGATCGAGTTATAGGCATAAACAAAAAGAAAATATATTGCAGCAATTATGTAAAGGTAACGAAAGAAAATGTTTTTTTTTAAAAAAATTTTTTCGGGACAAATGAAAAAACAAATAAACAAATAAAGAGATAAATAAATAAACACAAAATAAGCTAGAAAAGCTCCCCGGCAACGGCGCCAAAATTTGGTAAGCTGTCGTAGGCTTCCAAATTAAAACCTTACAAACGTAGTAGCGGGAGTAAGGATCGATCCCACGAGGAGTAACTAGTTTAACTTTTGTGCTCAAATTAAAGGTAGGGGGGGGGGGGTTTGGAATATATCGAGAATAAAGATAAAATAAAAGAGAATTTAAATAAACAAGAAGTTTAATTGAACGAATAAAGCAATGAAAATAATATATCGAAAACACTTATAATAGGAGACCTTGGTTAGTAAAGATCCACCGCCGGAATTCAACACTGATCATTGATTAATAAAGTAATTAATATGCAATTGAATATTTGTCGTGAAATTATGTCATTACTGTTTTCCCATAGTTGTAGGTAAATAAAGCACAAGCGGTTTAATTACCCCTAACTACTAAATAATCTAAGACAAGCGCTATAGATTTAATTTAATAGCAGCAATAGGAACTAGGAAAACCGACAAACTAAATAACACAAGCACAAGCGGTTGCATTGAATTTAGGAAAATATTCTACCCGAGACCAATTATCACTAAGCCGTCAATAATTAACCTCAGTTGCTACTGAATATTAGAATAATTTGTAGCACAACATTATATAATATAGCAAATAATTATATCAAATAAATAACTAGTAGGCCTCCCTAGCAATTAAATGATACAACTATTCAAATAATTTAGAAGAATATTTAATACTCAAAATGCATAAAAACATATATATAATAAAGTTAAATAAATAACCTTACAGCGTTATGAACTCCGGGGCTTCAATTCACTAAACCAACTAGAAATTAGCCACAAATGGACATTGATAACAACTTCAACGAATACTATAGAGGAGGGAAGAATGAATCAAGCATGAACATTTTAAAATAGAAATCTTCCACTATTTATATACTTTCCAAAATCAACCTAAGCTATTTTCTATCATCCATTTTCCTCCTTTTGTGCTGAGCCACGAAATCATCCGAAGTTGCTGCTTGTTCTCGCGCCAGTAATCAGTCGATGAAGCTTTCTTTCGTTGCTACCTGCGCCTCACATTCTTTAGGTGGAATTAAAACAAAACATTAGTTAGTATTTGCTAAAGGCTGAGCCACTTAAATAATATATAATATATAGATATATATATAATGCATATATATATATATATATATATATATATATATATATATATATATATATATATATATATATATATATATAGTAGTACGTAATATATATATGTCTCTATAAGTATAGTACGTAATATGTATTATATATATATATATATATATATATATATATATATATATATATATATATATATATATATATATATATATATATTTAATATTGTATATATAAAAAGAACTAATTATAAGACAATATTAAATAACTAATGCAAAATTATTATAAAGATGTACCTAAAATATGGGTGTAAAATATGCCTATCACTATTGCTCTTGGTTTTGTACTTATATACTTATGTATTCTGTTTCGAAAATGGCTTTACAATTTATATCTACTTATGTATGATATTTCACATGTATTGGTGGGTTACCAGCATTATTCGCTGACCGAGCGTCGTCCCATGTTTTATTGTGTTCTTTCAGGTGATGTCTAGGCGTGTGCGCAGTCTAGTGCCTGTTAGCATAGCTTCTCCCGTTGGTTTTATGGCCTATGTGCCACTTTAGTTATAGACTTTGGTGACTTTTGGATAGTTGTAAACAATGCAGATTTTGCCATAGCGTTCATCTTTGTTGGTGAACGTGGCATAACACCCCATGACTTTGATTTATATTTATCAAGTTATCTTTTAGTCTTCCGCTGTGTTTGTTGTTTAGTTTTGTTATCTGCATGTTTTAAGGTTTTTAATTAGCTTGTTTTATGGGGTGTTACAGTTGGTATCAGAGCCTAGGTTTGAGCCTAGGAAGGAGTTAAGTCTAGACTTTCTAAGTGGTTAAGTGCAGTTTGAGACCCTTAAGCGACCTTAAGAATCTAAGTGTTAGGCATAGGACTCTAGGTTGCGCGGTGAGCCGAGAGTTGCTTTCTGTTCTTTGCTTGTTTGTTATCTTTTGGTAACCGTGTTGTTGTTGTAGAAGTTTGCGATGCCTCCCCGACAGCGTACCGCAACGTTTGAAGACGCGAATGAAGTTGTTAAGAAATCTAGGTTGGCCGAATCTAGCAACGCTTCTGGGATGATTGAGCAATGGATCCGGGGCAGCACGTCAACAAAAGTGAGTCCTAGTGCAGCTACCTTGCCGGCATCTCGAGATTTAAGAAGGAATGGGAGAATAGAAGTTGACCATCCGACGGAAGGGTCACCTCAAAGGAAAACGCTTATCCTAAGTGAAGCTCGAACAAGTGACAGTGATGTAGTAATTGGAACCTTTCTCGTGCAGTCCGTCCCAGCAACAATCCTATTCGATTCGGGAGCATCTAACTCGTTCATATCACCCGGGCTCGTGGAAAAGTTGGACTTAATCGGTGGTGTTGGTGTGGAGCTTAACGTTAAGGTGGCATCCGGGGAAGTTAGGATGTGTGACCGTCTCTTTGAGGGCATCAAGATTAACATCAAGGGAGAGGAGTTTCCTAGTGATCTAATCCAGAATGACTTGGACGTGATGGACGTGGTCTTAGGTATGGACTGGCTGGGACGGTTTAGAGCTCAAATCCTGTGTAAAGAGTAGAAAGTGGTGTTACGGGGGCCCAGAGGGAAGAGGGTGTCGTATCGGGGAACGACGGAGAAACCCGGGATCAAGTTAGTATCAATGATAAAGATGAAAATGTACGTGGAGAAAGGCAATGAGCTGTTCTTGTGCTCTGTTGAAAATCTGAAGGCAAAAGGGAATGTAGCTCAGACCATACCCGTTGTCCGTGAATTCCTTGACGTTTTTCCCGAGGAAATACCGGGTATGCCCCCTCCGAGAGAAGTGGAATTCTCAGTGGATCTTATACCGGGCACTGCACCCATTTCCAAGGCCCCATACCGGTTAGCAACGAAGGAAATGCAAGAGCTGAAAACCCAACTACAAGAGCTTTTAGACAAAGGCTACATCTGAGCAAGTACATCGCCATGGGGAGCTCCGGTGTTGTTTGTAAAGAAGAATGATGGTAGTATGAGGTTGTGTATCAACTACCGAAAGCTGAACCAAGTCACCATCAAGAACAAGTACCACCTTCCGCGAATTGACGACTTGTTTGACAAACTCCGTGGCGCAGGAGTGTTTTCCAAGATTGATTTGAGGTCAGGATATCACCAGATAAAGGTGGCAGGCAAAGACATTCCTAAGACCGCATTTCGGACTCGGTACGGTCATTACGAGTTTACGGTGATGCCGTTCGGTTTGACAAACGCCCCTGCAGTGTTTATGGACCTGATGAATAGAGTATTCAAACCTCATCTCGACGACTTTGTGATCGTGTTCATCGAAGATATCCTAGTGTATTCAAGGGATAAAAGAGAACATGTTGCACACCTTCGGACAGTACTCCAGATTCTGAGGGAAAAACAATTATACGCCAAGTTTTCAAAGTGCGAATTTTGGAAGGACAGTGTAGTATTTCTGGTTCATGTGATTGATAGTAGGGGTATTTCTGTGGATCCGGACAAGGTACGGGCAGTGAAGGATTGGACTGTGCCTACATCGGTGGCAGAAGTAAGAAGCTTTCTTTGCTTAGCGGGTTATTATCGAAGGTTTGTTTTGGATTTCGCTAAGGTAGCTCAACCATTGACTAAATTATTAAGGAAAGAAGTGCCTTTCGTTTGGAATCAAGCGTGTGAGTTCGCATTTCGGGAATTGAAGGAGAGGCTCACGTCTACACCAGTTTTAATTTTACCATAAGGAACAGAAGGGTTTGAGGTATACAGCGATGCATCCAAGAAGGGACTAGGTTGTGTGTTGATGCAAAACGGGAGAGTAATTGTGTACGCCTCGCGTCAACTTAAAGTTCACGAAAAGAATTACCCTACCCATAATTTGGAATTGGTCGCCGTAGTGTTTGCTTTGAAGATTTGAAGGCACTATTTGTACGGGGTGCGTTGCAAGGTTTTCACGGATCACAAGAGTCTCAAGTATATCTTCACCCA